TCATAACATCCACGAAATACTAGGGGAATAAAACTCAGGTGTCCAGCACCATCAAAAGGGCAACTACTACAACCATAAAAATTGGAAGAGTTTAGACTACAAGCTATCTAGCTACACTAGTCTAACTCGTGGTCTCAACTTTACGAACTGGGCCCACCTGAAGGGGGTTAACAAACAACAAGTAACAAGCAAACCCGTTAGCACAAAGCTAAGTATAACACCACTCAACCCTGTAAAGTAAGTACAGTATATACTTTGGAAAACAAGGTTCCACATTCTTTGCTTAAGCAAGTTTAAACACTTAACATACTTTGGCGTAACTTCTAGATGCTTGCAACCTAATACTTAAATAGGCATACTTAATCATAAACACTCGTCACATTCTCATCTTATGAACAATCTAAAGCTTCTCAAATAATCAACATTCTCATGCTTTCTCAAATAAATCAAATATGCAACTCATACCATCAGATAATACTCATGCAATCTCGTGCAAGATATATCAATAAGCAATCTCGTGTTAATACTCATGCAACCTAGTGCAAGATATATAAATAAGCAATCTCGTGTTACTACTCATGCAATCTAGTGCAAGATATATAAATAAGCAATCTCGTGTTACTACTCATGCAATCTAGTGCAAGATATAAATAAGCAATCTTGTGCTACTACTCATGCAATATAGTGCAAGATATAAATAAGCAATCTCGTGCTACTACTCATGCAATCTAGTGCAAGATATAAATAAGCAATCTCGTGCTACTACTCATGCAATCTGTTGCAAGATATATGACTCATAAGATGATGCTATAGTATAAGTATAGATATACATATACACTCTTTTATAAATAGTATACTTTTTTTTTGTGGAGGTTTCTTAGAGCCAAAAATGACTCGCTTTGCTTCTTCCTTTCTTAGAGTCTCAATGACTCGCTTTCTTAGAGTCGTGTTGACTCGCTTTCTTAGAGTCTCAATGACTCGCTTTCTCTTTACTCGTGGGCGAGGCTGGGCTTCACCATAGTGTGAATTACCCATTGGGTACGGCATATAGCCGGCCATTCTCTCATCTCGTCCACAGAACCAATCTCGTGGTTCCAGTACTCATACTCTGTGGAATCAAGTATCGAACTATCAGTTTGCACACGCCCTGACCAGGATTCCAAGCCTGGCCGGCAGTTTCCAACCTCGTAACGTGGGAATACGCCGCGTTACATGATATCGGATTGCAATGTCCGTTACTTTCTCTTTTACTCCGAAAGGACATAGTCCAAACGGGTCCTCCAAAAATAATGTTTTCCTCACAATAGATATATCACTCATGCAGCTCAAATCATGCAATGATTTTCTTATGCAAATATGCACATACTCTTAATTCAATCTCAATATGGCAAGGTAAATGCTTTCTACATGAAAATGAGATTTTAGAAAATAATACTTAGGCTCACAAGGCCACTTATGCACTTTTAAAACATGGAATGCTCAACAATGCCAAATACCGTGAAATAGTGCTTCTAGCTTTTATTCACTATGAAACTCAACAATTTCATATTTCATGCTTACTACTCGAAACTCAACAATTCTTCTCAATAACACTTAGCAAGTATTTAACATTCTTTTGAAACTCAAAATACTCTCAACATAGATATGCTTGAAAATTAACAAACTTGGCAGTAAACTTCATCAACTCACAGTATACAATTTAGGCATACTTTGGTGGCTAAACTCAACTAATTAAGCTCATGCTTCTCTATTTAACAATCAAACAATGACATGCTTAGCAAATAAAATACTCAAGTCTCATAAACTTAAACACATTCACTGTGAATTACTCAAACCAAACTCTGCAACAATTATGCTTACAATTCTTAGCATAAAATGCTCAATTCTTCTCTAAACTCAACGAAATTAAAGTCAAAACATGCATCAAGACGGACCCGAGGTACTGAGCCACAAGAGCCCTCGACACCCCGTCCGAAACAACACGTAGCTGAGCCACAAGGGCTCGGCCACTGCACAGAGAACAACCAACGGAGCTTAGGCGGGGCTAGGCTAGACCCGCCGCTCAAGCCGCCTCAAAGCTGGCTCTAGACAACGGTCCCCTCATAGGGCCATTGCCTAGGCCCGGTTGGCCACGGTTCTAGCCAACAGTCCCCCTGGTGGCCGTTGGCTGGAGCCGCCCAAACTACTGGTGCACACTGTCTGTGCACCAAATGATTTCTTCACATCTGTAAAATTAAACCAGACATCTCTAACTCATCCAAAACATCTACAAGCAACAATAGATCATGTAAAAACTCAAACACTTCAAATGTCTGACATTTCTACTCATTTCTACTCAAAACATAGACTTCACAGAGTCTAGAAATAGCTTTGGGAGTCCATGGGTTATACCTTTGTAGCTTTCTCTTCTTCTAGCTTGGTTTCCACCTCCTTCCTTAGCTAGCTACAACCTCCTTCACCTCCTAAACATCTCAAACAAACCATACAACCAATCTTAACCTATAACTCAGAGGAGGATGGAAGCAAAGATGAAATGGAAGGCTAGGATTGAATGTAGAAGAATGGTGAACTTACTGTGTGTTCTTGGTGGTCTGGCAGGGGGAGCTCAAGGGTGGAAACAAGATGCTAAGTCTGATTAATGCTCAATATATAGGAGCACAAAACCCTAGGAAGATCTCTCATGATTGGAGGATGGCAAAAATGTAAAGGGTTGGCTAGAAAGTTGCATCAAACAAGCTCTTGGAGTGATGTGGTTCACCATGCTTCATGGTCCATGGTCCAAAATTAGGATTTTAAAAGTAGATTGGGTTTGAAATTGAGTTTCTCAAAATGATTTCTAGATAGACATTTGATTTAAGCTTCTCTGATTTATCCCGGTTTCACTCAGATTGAATTTTCAGTTCAAAACTTGGCATGCGATGTACCCGAAATTTTAGGATATTGGAATTAAATCCATTATTGGTGTCGAATTAAATTTAAAATGGCTCAAAATAATTTATTCAACACCGCTTCATTTGTAAAAAATTGTATGGAGTGAAAATTGGCTATTTTGGATTTTCTTAAAATCGAATTTATAAAATAAATTTTGGGTTGTCACAGTAGTACTCAACGAGTTTATCGAACCCACGATGTTTTTCCCTTTTTGGTGGTGCACCACAAAACACTCATGAAATGCACCACATAGCACTCATAAATACACCACACATTAGCATTAAGTGCACCACCGAAATATACATTGTGTATAAAATTATTTAAATATCACTGCATATTTTCCCTTTTAATTTATTTGCAGTCACTTGGTGGTACAACACAAAACATCACATAATGCACCACTAAGCACTTATAAATGCACCACCGAAACATACATGATAAACAAAATTACATAAAGATCACCGTTTTATTTTTCTCTTCATTAATTTCCATTTGTTTGATCTGATTTCATCCCAAGGTTTGATATATCATCACGATTGCACGGAACACCATTACTGCGTTATACGGAGTATATATATATATATATATATATATATATATATATATATATATATATATATATATATATATTTATTTATTTATTTATTTATTTATATTTATATAATCCTAAACCAAATATACATATTTATGCCAAAACCTTGTGGTCTAATGACATTCGGGTTGGACTTCCATATGGAAGATTGTGGGTTGGAGACTCAGTGGAGGTACATTGTAATAGAGTCAGTAGCATTAAAAAAAATAGAATTAATTACCGAAATGGTCCCTTGACTATAGCAAAATTACCAATTTGGTCCTTGATTATTGTTTTTGACTAATTAAGTCCCTCAACTTTAAAATTTTAACCAATTTGGTCATCTGTGTTGTTTGACCGTTTGTCAACCGTTATAGTCAAGGGACCATTTTGGTAATTAACTTTAGAGGTGGCCAATTCGGTTCAGTTTTCTCGAACTGAACCGAACTAGTTTGGTTCGGTAATATACCGAACAACCGAACGATATTGGATTCTTGTATACTGAACGGTTCGATAAAAAAATCGATCTGAATTGTTCGGTAAAAAATTGAACCGAACCGAATACCGTTTGATTTTTTATAATAATAATAATAATAATAATAATAATAATAAATAAATAAATAAATAAATAAATAAAAAGTAAATCCAAGTCCCTTGCTGCTTGCTTTGTAGTTCAACTCATATTCTCACAGGTATCTCTTTTAAATGTTTTATTTGATTTCTTTATGGTTTGTTATCAAAAGTTATATATTATGTGATATGGTGTTTACATAATCCAAATCCAAAGTCTAATATATAACAAAATAGCAATCCAAAGTTCAAATGGTATTCAGTTCAGTTCGATTTTTACTGAACAACTCAGTTCGGTTCGAATTTTTACCGAACCGTTCGGTATACAAGAATCTATTACCATTCAGTTGTTTGGTATATTAGCGAATCTAACTAGTTTGGTACGGTTTAGTTCGAGAAAATTGAACGGAATTGTCCACCCTTAAAGTTAATTATCAAAATGGTTCCTTGACTATAGCGAATTACCAATTTGGTCCCAAGTTAACGATTGACTAACGGTCAAACAAATAAATACCAAATTGGTTAAGATTTTTAAAGATGAGGGACTTAATTGGTCAAAAAAATAGTCAAGAATCAAATTAGTAATTTTACTATAATCAAGGACTATTTCGATAATTAACTCAAAAAAATATTTATAATCCTAAACCAAAGAAGTTTATATTAGTGCGTGTGTAATTGTGTATGCATATGAGAGGGAGAGATGAAAACTTTGGCACGGATTGCTATCCGTGTGCTCTGCCAACTAGGAATATCCACCGTTGTTTTATCCGTAATCGAACGCCCCAGATCCCCCGCTAAACCTGAAAAATTCAAAATTCCGAATATTGAAATTCGTCGAAACTCGAAACTCTCCCTCCCTTGAAAACTCCCGCTTCTTCACCCATTGCATCTATCTCCCTATAAATTAAATACACTCATCACAATCTTTCTCCGTCAGATCATTTATCTCCATTTCCACTTGTGCTACAGAGAGATAATTGAAAAGCAATCAAACAAGCCCTAGCCGTCGGCGAAATGGCGAGAACGAAGCAAACCGCTCGGAAATCAACCGGAGGCAAGGCTCCTCGGAAGCAACTGGCAACTAAGGCAGCTCGGAAATCTGCCCCTGCGACCGGTGGTGTGAAGAAGCCCCACCGGTTCCGTCCTGGAACTGTTGCACTGAGGGAGATCCGAAAGTACCAGAAGAGCACTGAGCTGTTGATCCGAAAGCTGCCGTTCCAGAGGCTGGTGAGGGAAATTGCTCAGGACTTCAAGACTGATCTTCGCTTCCAGAGCAGTGCTGTTTCCGCGTTGCAGGAGGCCGCCGAGGCCTACCTCGTTGGACTGTTTGAAGATACCAATCTCTGCGCCATTCACGCCAAGAGGGTCACCATTATGCCCAAAGACATGCAGCTCGCTAGGAGAATCAGAGGCGAGAGGGCTTAATCTCTTCTTATTAATGTGCTTTTTTGGCTTGCACTATGTATTATTGTAATCTTAGGAACAAGTCATTTGCAGTATTATTGTAATCCTAGCAGGAAGAAATTAAGTGGAATGCAATTATTGCTTGTTTAAGAATTTTATTTCTCTTGGCTTATTAGTACTTGAGACAGAATTACATTAAATTTTTATTTGACAAAAAAACCTACAATCTCAGCATTAATTAGTCTGGAGGTACTTCCCATCCTGTTAGTTTTTGGGTGCCCAGCTTGGTTGTAATGGAGCGGTTGTTTGGGATCATAATGGTAGATTTGTGGAAGGTCAAGACCCTTATATTGTTGAAGTAATGGCGGTTAAGGAAACTCTAACTTGGTTAAAAGATTGTGCTAATTGTAATATCTTAATTGAAATTGATTGTTAGGGATATCAAAAATGTGTTGGTTTACTATGTCGAGAGGTCATCAAATTAGGTAGTTCATGTGTTAACACAAGCAATTGCTTCCCAATCCTGTGTATTTCACACTTTTTAATCTCTTAATGCATTTGGTTGGTTATTTGCATTTAAAAAAAGAAAAAAAAAAAAAACTAGAGTCTCAGCGTAATTAAAAAAAAAGTTGACCAATGGATTATTGAGAATTCCCAACTAATGTTACACTATAGTCATTTTCCTATCTGGGCAGGTCTTGAAAGTTTCAAGGTTGCTGCAAATGGCAGGTTTAATATAAATATGTTTCTTGTGCACAAACTGCTGCACACCCTTCATCCTCTGTTACGCTTCATGAGTTGTATAAATTCTGCAAAAACTGCACCCAAAATAGCTTCATAAGAGTCGAGGATGAAGAAGTGGATGATGATGTTTGAATGTGCTGCAAACATCTTATAACTGCTTATCAAACTAAACTTATGCAGCAGCAAGTAGAGGAGGAGAAAGAGATAAATTAATTACCAAGATCCGAGTCATGAGGCCCGGGAGATGCTTCGGGATGGTATTGGAGTGACATTAGCTTTTGTCCAGGAAAGGCAAGACCAGCACAGCTTCCATCGTTCAAGTTCACATGAGTTACCTCTACACCTTCAGGGAGTGACTCGGGATCAACAGCATAGTTGTGATTCTGCATACTTATAATGAGCGTGCGTTAATAAGATGATAAGGAACAAACGCCTACCAAGAACTTTATAGACTGTTTGTTTTAGGAGGGAGCGATTGAAAGACATACGTACCTGGGCACTAATCTCAACACTGCCATTGCGAAGGTTGCGAACAGGATGGTTCCCGCCATGGTGCCCAAACTTCATTTTAAAGGTTTTACCCCCCAAAGCTTGACCAAGTAGCTGATGCCCCATGCAAATGCCAAACACAGGAACCTTTCCGATTATTTCCTTTACTGTTTCAACGGCATAAGGAACTGCAGAAGGGTCTCCTGGACCATTGCTGAAAAGAACCCCATCCGGATTCATATTCAAAGTTTCAGATGCTGGCCATGTTGACGGAACAACAATAATTTTACAGCCATAGGATGCCAATCTCCTTAGTATATTATGTTTGATTCCAAAATCATATGCAACAACCTTCATCAGCCAAATCAATACAAAATGAGTGTGGTGTTGAATGCTTCTGCATATGTATAAAAAGCATACTAATACTCACATTGAAACTCTCTTGGCTTCTTCCATTAGAATTAAACTCCCACGCTGATTTTGTGCTATCAATCCATTCATAAGGAGCCTTGCAGGAAACACCACTAATTAAATCCACACCTGTAAAATTGCAAGCAAACAACAATAATAATAACCAAAAAAAAAAAAAAAGCCCTTTATGATTCAAAAGATGCCATCCAATAGATGCATCTAAAGCAAGATGCATACCAACAATGTCCCAAGTGCGAGAAAGTTCTAGAAGTTCCTCATCTGTTTTCTGCTGCTCTGTGCTCAGCACGCCAATAAGGCTTCCATCTTCCCTCAATCTCCGAGTAATTGCACGAGTGTCAACATCATCTGTTGTATGATAGAAAAAAAATAACCTTTCAACATGAATTCTAGCCAGCCAAATATAAAGTTGTCTGCAAAGTGTAATATGAAGATTCTGACTTACATATCCCCATTATGTTCCTTGCAGCCAAATAGTCACCTAATGTCTCTGTGCATCTCCAATTCGAGGTACTGGAAAACATCATTAGTTAATTACTTTCAGCAATGGGATGAAAAGTGCAGGACAAAAACAAGCATGTTAAGTCCATAGAGTCATAGAGGGAAAGGTAGCACACCTTAAACTCAAACTTTTAATTACTAATCCTGCCAAAAAGCACTGTCTAGATTCTTCGTCATCTGTCAAAGGAGGTATTCTGATTTAGAAACATGCAATGTTTGAAACACGTAACACAAGGTGAACAGAGTACAGACCAAAATTGACACCAGTGTTCCCAATGTGAGGGTTTGTCATCAACACAAATTGACCAGCATAACTAGGATCAGTAATGATCTCCTGGTATCTGCAATGTCAGGACATAAAGAAAAGGGGTCATATCAGTTGCATAAGATGCAATGAAGTATCAAGACTCTTCCCTGCTTCCCAATACAACAAAGAAGGAACAAAATAAATCAAAGCATTCAATCAAGAAAACAATAATGGATTTATAAGCTTCCCTCAATAACTAGATATGGAGTATATATTTTTCACAGCTGGCAAGTTTTACTCCTAAATCTTATTAAACTTCGCAAAGCTTGCTTTTTTTCTGTGGCTATCATAAGCTCTTTAATACAATTGCACAAGAAAAGCATTTTCACTTAATCTTGGAAGTTTTACAGGAGAAATATGATGAAACCACTAATCTCTCATTTGGCATGATAACCTTCCCAATGCATTTCAATGTCGTGCCAGCCTAATTTTTCACCTCTCCTTTCCCAGGCCTTTTCCTTCCCTAAACTATTTGGAATGTTAATATAGTTTGGCTCAAGGACTCAATGCAGATCTTGTGCTTATTATTTATTTCAATGAAATGAAACAGGCAAATAATATGTATCAGCTCATCAACTGTATAGGAATTAAGGTTAGTAAAATTAGGCTTATCATTAGTATATATAAATGCAATAGTCACTGGAAAGAACAAATAGATATCTCACCCCGTCAATGATGTATTGAAAACCACTTCTCCAACTTGGGTCCCAGAAGCACCAAAGGATTTTGCCTTCCAAATTGAACCATCCTCGAGCACAAGCCTAGCATCTGCTACCTTCCATGGTCTCTCTACCAATCCTGAGTTGAAGAAAATTATGACTTGTGCAGCAATACAGTTAAAAGTTTGATAAAGTAACAGAGACTGACTTCACCGTTAGCGGGGGAGAGAAAAAAAAAAAACGAAATTATGCATCAAGGTTCAAATTGGAAACTTCATTTCTCTTTAGGGATGGAATCAGTTTAGAATCAAATAAAACACTGGCAAAACTTTAAACTGCTAAATGTATGTAAGAGTTTTTGAAGAGTTAACCTCAAGCTCTAAACATGAGAGGAGTAACACTCTCCTAGTCTCCTCACCCAGCATTCCCACATGGGAACGATGCAGAAATTCAAAATATTTAAAATTTATACTTTGAGAGCACAAGTGTTAGTGATTCACAGGCGGCGGTCCCTCGACTCACACACATATAAAGATAAAGAGAGGTGTTTCCGACGGAGGTAAGTTACCGGAAGGAGACGCGACAGAAGGAAGAGGAGAGGAGCACTTGACGATAAAACCCCGAAGTTTTGGCGAAGACTTGGAGTTGTGAGAAATCGGAGAAGTTGCCACTAAGAAGGAATATTGAGTTTTCAGAGCAAAATCCATGGCTGCTGCCCTTTCTCTCCTCTTCGAGTTCAGTTCTAGTAGCAGATTAGCAGTCACCTGGAGCTAGGGTGCGGCTTATGTATACTTTTTTTTTGAGATAATGTAACTTTTTTTTTCACTGTATTATACAATTTCCAAAGAATATGTGACAATCTTTAGCATACTAATTTGAAAATTTGTGTTTCAAATAGAGAGGAAAAAATAATCAGAAATCTTTTTGGATTGAACGTGTTTTACTATTTTATCAATGAGGTGGAAATATACACAGCATATTCGTTGTTTTTAACTCTTATATTCTCTATTATTCTTGTTCTTGTCTTTGCTCCTTTTTTTTTTTTTTTTTTTATTGGAATATATTAATCATAAAATTGTTACGAGTATCCTTCGTCTCAATAGAGTTTTCACTTAAATTTTCGTTAATAGAGATATTACTACTTTGAATAAAAATGAGTTAATTCCAGCAATGGTCCGCCATGAAAACACAGCAGCTAGTTCCAGTTCCCAGGATGCTAATGCCTATGACCATATCTCTGCTAACAAGCCTGGGGTGAGGGATGTGATCTTCAATTTCTCCGGCTCCAGTCGAGTAATTACAGGTGTTGTTGTGGATATGTTCAGTACAAGTATGATAGATGTTGTCGATGAGTTTGGACTTCCCAGCTAGGTGAATTATACCTCCGGCGCTGACTTTCATGGCCTCATGTTTTACGCCCAAACGCTCAAAGATGATCACGGCCGCGACATTGCTGACTACCGAGGCTCAGAAGCAGAGCTGTAGGTTCCGAGTTTCGAGCGCCCTGTACCAGCTAAGGTCTTGCCTACTCCCGTCCTAGACAATATATGACCTTTTGATGGTGCAACACTGAGCTCAAATGGTCCAACTACCATGCCCACCTAATTCTGATAGATTCATAACACAGTTTTCAACAACTCGAATATTCATAGGGGGTGTATCTATGTTCGCTGTTGCAGTGGCGCCTTGTGAAGAAGATGGCGCGTCGATGCCTTTGTAGGCTCTGGTGGCACGCGGTTTTGTTACCATTGTCGCTGTTTTTGGCAGTGGCTACTGTTGTGGTGGTCGGAGTTTTCGGGGTGGGTCCGTCGGTGAACCAGCTCTGGCCGAAAACCATCTCCGTCGTCGAATTTTCAAAAACCGGCCGCAAATTCCCGGCGCCAGAGGTTAGTCCACACCTCGAGGGCTCGCCGGAGCGCCACCGTACTGATAATTTTTCTAGCTGGGAAGCTCCGCCAGCGAAACCCGTGCAGATTCAATCAGAAGATATATCGGAGCCTTATCACGATTAGGAGCTTTTCGCCGCTGATTACGAAGAAATGATCAAAACCCTAAAGATTTTCGTGTACCTAGACGTGTATTTTAGCAAATCTTCGCCTTTAGCTAGCGTGTTTCTTCCCCACCCAGACCCTTCAAAGCAGGGGAATTACTTCAGCGAGCACATGTTCAAGGTAGCGCTTCTCTGGAGCTCGATCCAGACGCGGCAGCCAGAAGATGCGCATTTTCCGTCGTGTGTGGTGCGGAGTGACGGTGGCCAATGTACGTAGAGCAACAAATAATACGCGTATTTTCGTCATTATACGCTGAGTAAGTAAAAGTACCCATTTGTCCCTGGAATTAACGGTCACTTAACCAACAATTGACGGAAGGACCTGAATTGGAAAAAAATTAATAGTCGGGTGGTTATATTGTCCAAATTAAAAGACGGGGACTAAATATAGAAAATCAACATACTCGGGGGACCATTGCTGGAATTAACTCGAATAAAAATATAGGAGAAAGAGAAAATGCCAAAAAGAGTTTTAATTTGGAGGGGTAAAGATGTCATTTATTTAAAATAATAAAGATAAGGTGAAAAAAAAAAAGAAACTACTAGCTTATTTTTGAAACGCTACCTTGTTTTGAAATAAGATCTTATTTTAGAAATAGGGTCCCTCGAAATTGGTGATTTTGTCGGCTATCGTCCTTAACTTTAATATGTTTCAGCGTAGTCATTTGACTTTGTAATTTTGACCACCAACAGTCCTCACGTTCGCACCGTTGGTGGTCAAAATTACAAAGTCAGATGACTACACCGAGACATATTAAAATTAAGGGCGATAGCTGACAAAATCACCAAAGTCGAGGGATCTTAACTGACATTAACTCTTTTAGAAACATTACCAAGCATAGCTTATAGCTTATTATTAGCTTAAAATAAAATATAAGCTTCTAAATAAGCTCTGTTTGACGGAGCTAAAAAGGAAAATGGAAATAATCTCTCTAATTGTTCCATAATAATAGGAATGATCCAAAAATTCTATGGTACATTCCTAATTTATTCCTGACACAAATTAGGTACTTACTAATAATGCCAAAAAAGGGGTAATGTTTGGTGTTATTGTCATCATAGGATAGGATTGGGGTATATTATCATCAAAATCACAAGTTTAGACAAAAAGCAATTGCTATTTCTTTTTAAACTCAAAATAGACACCCAATTCTTAACTCCTTTATAATATTATTATAAAAGACACCGGGGGGAATGCGAATCCAATTCCCATCCTTCTCTCTTCATCATCATCATCTGATCGATAAGATAAGCAGAGTGAGAAACAGGCAATATGGTGAAGAAGGTATAGTAATATGAATCAATTCAGTTGGAATATGAGATTGTTATATATAGATATTGTTGTGATTAGTAGTTTAATATGTATGGGGTGCAGATGGGGGAAAGCGTGAAGTTAGAATTTACTAGCGACGAGAGGAGCAGGAGAACAAAATTCAAGCACAGGACGAAGAGCTTGATGAAGAAGATAGAACAATTGTCGATACTGTGCGGGATTGATGTGGGCGCAATCATATTTGCTAACCACGCCGATGTTGATGCCGCGGCAGATAAACAACTTCTTGTATGGCCGCCCGCACCCCAGCATCTCCACCAACTACTTACTTTATACAAACAAAAGGCCGCCGCCGCCGCCGCCGATGTGAACCGGGAGGAAGAGGCGGCGGAACCGAGTGATGCTGGTGACGGTGATACCTCCTCCAGCGTATCCTCCCATTCCCAGACCCAGGAGGATACCAACACACAAAGCCTATTGTCGTCGTCGTCACTCCAGCAGCTGAATGAACTCGTACACATAGTGGACCGCCGGATTGCTGCCGTCGATAACAAGATACAATTCTTAAGGAGATCTCAGCAGGGAATGCCGGAGGAGGAGGAGGAGGCGGCGGTTAGCAATTTGTCCCACCGCAACCGCTGCCCTCATGCGGTGCACTGTTGTTGCCGCGGATGCGCCGTGGTTGACCCTGGATGTTCACATCATAGTGGCCTCAACATCACTCTCCATGGGACTTGCAATTCTTGTATGTCCCATTCAAATCATCAACTTTGAATGTTTTTTTTTTTTTTTTTTTTGTTTTGTTGAACACTTCTTGTATGTTCAATTCACATCTAAATATTGTTTGTACCCATAGTTAAAGTTTTTCTAATATCAATGCAAAATCTAATTTATTCAATCCGCCTAAGCTACCACTATCATTACATTCTTTTTTGCCAAAATTTTAAACCCCACTTTTCGTTTGCTCATATCAATCTGTCATACTTGAAACTAATGGTATATCTATCATACTTAGAGAGTGATGGTGTTAGCGCACAGAACTTTCAAAAAAGTACTCGTGTTCGATAAGCGTTCGTTTATATTTGTGCTCATAAACAAGTAAACTTGTTTGTTATTCATGAACAAACCCGTTTAATATTTGTTTAAATTTTAATGTTCACAAATACACACACATATAATATTCTACAAGGGCAATAAAGTAATTAAGGTCATTTCATTCATGGTAGTTTTGTTGTTGTTTGTTTAGTTTATTGCTTATGATCGTATATTATTTTTAATTTCTTGTTCAAAAACAAATTGTGACCATGAACACGTGTAAGTGTTTGGTTATTAAGTGTTCACGAACGTGTTCATTAACATAAATGAATATATTTGTTAATATTAACGAACACATTCGAAAACATTAACAAACACTAATGAACACTTAGTAAACGAACACGAACATCGGAACATGATTTCCAAAAATCTTAACAAACAAACACGAATATTCGGTTCGTTAACAGCTGTACTTGAGAGTTGAGAGAAGGCCTTCCTTCCATTCATACTCACGCAATAAGTTCAAATTTGTACTGTAATACTCGGGCATTTTAAGTTGTAATAAGGTGCACTTAACTGTTACACAAATAATAGTCGTTCCTACAGACTCATAATATCCACAGTAACAATTTTGAACAAGGCAAAACCAAGCAAGCCTAAATTCCTTCTGAAATAGTACATCATTCGCACTACCACAGCAATACCATTTCTTTGGTCAATCATGCAGTCCGCAGAGGAGGGGACACCAGTATTACACCATCTCCACGAACAAAAAGGAAAGGAATGGTCCGTTTTGTAGTCTGAAAAGGGAATGAATACACACAAATAGTTACTATACGTTTAGAAATTACCACTTCATACTTTTTAGATGACAAAACAACACAGGTTAGGTTCCTATAGGATGCTACCTAAAATCCTAAATTTATAATTTCAGTTTCAAATATAAAGGAAGAATGGCTAAGACCATACCCTAACTATCTCCTCATATGTTTCATCATCAATCTCAACAGTTGTCACAATTTCTTCAACATCACCAAGAATCATATTAAGATGTTGATCATAAGCCTGTAAAACAACATGACACAAGATCAATTTAGTTTCACAATGGAAGATTGCTACTCTAAGTAAAATCAAATTTTCCATTCAATTCCAGTTTATATATATTCCAAACAAATTTCATCAACTGGAAAATTACCTTGGAAACTCGGAAACACAAAATAAACCAACAGAGATGCTTAAAAAACATACACACACACAAAGATTCCCCTTATACTAGGTAATGCATTAGTTCATAGCCACTAACAGCATTATATTTTATCAATTCCTTCCTCCTTCACTAACTTCAAGTTAGTCAACATGAGGATTGAGAAGTAATTCATCAAAGAACAATACGTTCACTGCAAGTTTGTTTTATCAAGAATTGAGAGGGAGAGGAAAATTAAAAAAATTTACCATGAACTAGAACAGAAAAAAATGTCAAACCAAAAAATAAAAAGTTTTTTTTTTTTTTTTTTAAATCCAGATTGTTCACAACAAAGATGCCCTTTTGACAATGCAGGATGGAAGGTTGGCAGAAGAAAAGGGAACCCAAGGTTAAGTTAAGAGAATGAGCAGACCCTAAAGTAGAAACAGGAAGGCATGTGTATGCAATTATCTTTTCCCCAGAGAAATAATACTAAAAATCAAAGAGAGACAGAAGAAACTTGAGTGCCATCATCAGGGCCGGATTTTAGGCTGTGCAAGCTGGGCTGCCGCACAGGGCCCCCAATTTTAGAGGGGCCCCAAATTTTAGAGGTTCAATATTTAATTTTTACCTAGCTAGTTTAAAAATAAAAATTAAAAAGTTTTCAATTAAACTTTAAAGGTTTCATGAAGAGATGGTAAGAATGTGTATTTATTGTATTTTAACTTGGAGGTCAAAGGTTCGAAACTTGCATGTATTAGTTTTAAAAATTATGATTTTGGTAGGGCCACATTTATTTACTAGAACAGGGCCACCAAAACTTAAAATACGGCCCTGGCCATCATGAAAGTTAAAGTCAAATACTCGTATAGCTGTACTGCTCGACTTCATGAATTGTTACCGACTTTCAACCTTCTTCTCCTAGGTGTTAGTATAATAAAGTCGTATAGCTGTACTGCTCGACTTCATGAATTGTTACCGACTTTCAACCTTCTTCTCCTAGGTGTTAGTATAATAAAGTCCTAGGCCAATTTTGACTTATTTGACCACTATTAGTGGTTTGACTTGGTTAAACAATAATATGAGTGTTTGATTAATTAGTTTTTTGTAATAATTTATTGCTCTAAAATGCTAAAATTCAAAAAACTACCTAGAGTAGCTTTTTCAATTAGCTTTTTGAGAAAGTCTGTAAAGGCTATTAGCTAATTTACAAACACTTTTCTACAATAGAAAATGCTATCAACTAGTCAAACTCACTAACACACTAATCTAACAGCTATAAGCTAACAGCGATAATTTCCAACTTTACAGCAATATATAGCACATCCTAGCTTCCTCAAACAAAAATAAGGCAAACAAACCAATTTAACAGTGGAAGAAACATACAAACAGCCATCTAGAAATATAGATACACACACATCATATTTGAAAAATAAAACAATTAACCATATTTCGACATTTAGTGGCTAAAGAGAGGTAATATTAATCATCAGAAGAGCAGAAACCCTAGAAGAAGAAAAGGGAAAATGAAATGGTACATGAAGTTTTCCGCGGAGTTCACGGTCGGAACGGAGCTTGACGTAAATTCTCTCGTCGAGGCTGAGCCTGATAAGATCCAGCGGCTCCTTCACTGTGCTCTCTTCTTCACTCCCCATTCTGTCTCTCTCGGACTGCGCGCCTTTTCGATCCTTCACACTTCACATTCAGAAATTTCTCTAGGTTATAACAGGACCTTTTTCTAACAATGGATTGGGGGCTCTTCTTTTACTTTGTGGGCCGCATACAGGCCCAATGACAATATCTTTTATTTGAGCCCACTTTTTTTTTTTTTTCTTAATGTAACCAGTATTACATATTTAAAAATATTTAATTGCACCATAGAACTCTAAAAAAAAAAAAAAAAAATGTTTCGTATGAATATATGAATTATAAAAAAAAAAAAAAAAGAAAAACGAGAGGTACAATTGACTTATTTTTGTATGTATATTATTTATTGCATTTTGCTAATGGCATGGTTTTCATGTTTAATATTACCTTCTTGCATAGCACATGTACTATTTTTATTTTTTACTCAAATAAAATAAAAATTCCAAGCATACACAAGTATGGTGTGATTCTTCCCTGGACCTACATGAACGCTTTAGCAGGCAAGGCGTGGGTCAGTCCGATTTACAAGATTCAGTTTCTGACCTTGGGAATGTGAAACTGTGAGAGGTCCGGCTAACATTATACTGTCGGAGGGGACGCTACCGGTATCGTAACCAACTCAGATCTTCAGGAGTGAGTCGGACCTAGCATCCAACCTTCCGCCCGAGAGACAACTAACGTCATCTTCAAGTGAACTGCCCAATAATAGTTAGGGTCATAGTCAGGTTTGACCTTGTAACTGGTCATCAACCCAAACACTCCAGCAAATCATCCTCTTACCTCGACTCAGCACTTTATGAGCTGGAAGGATGGGATCCTAGTGCAAGTGGCTCAAGAAGCTAAGCAACACCAAAAATTACAAATGAATGCGGGTAGTGGACCTGCAAATAAGATAAGGTATACTAACAAAACCATCATTTTGTTAGGTTAAATCAACCTTAATTCTAAAACATGCCCATGCACAAAATTGTTACAATATAATAATCAAGCAGTTCAAGCTAATCTGAAATCAAAGCAATAATTTTGAAGTTGATTAGATGATATTAAGTAGATAGTAGTAAAAACAGAGCATGAGCAAGGCTTGCTTAACGAACAAGATAAATTAAAATCTCAAGCTTACATTATTCCAAAGTTGGTTAACAAATCAAATCACTAAAATATTTTGCATAAAAGTGGAAGATAAACATGAAGAAAAAGTCAAAAAAATTGGCTAATCATTGTTCTTAAGAAAATGACCCTCAAATCATTACTACTTGCACATACACACCCTTTATATCCAAAACAGTATAATACAATCAGGTCTGCTTCTTCACGCCTATATATTTTTTTTCATTACTGTGCAATTATTCATCATAATTATCGTATATAGCAGATTAAAAAAAATGAATTAAAATTGCCAATTTAAGCAATAATTTTTATACAAAAGCTATTCGATCCATTCAATTTTAAGTATACATGTATTCAATTATAAACGGATGGGAGCATTATTGTGTACGTAGTACAGTAGTAATGTTAGGGTGATAAATTGATAATTAAATGTATAAGAAAAAGGGTGATAAATTGATAATTAAATGTATAAATTAATTGATAATTTATAATTGGGTGGGTTTCAAAATACGCCGAAATCAATCAATCCACTAGCTAGCTTGATATGTCTCATTCAGGGAGCGTGTGGGACAACTTTAAAAAGCTTAAGGCCATTACTTTTATTTTTATTTTTTTATTTTGTTATTTTTGCTATAGCTAGGTTGTTGAGATAAGAAGAAAAAAATGGTCGAAGATAATTACTTCACTCTTTGGCAAGCTGAATATGACCGAAACGCACACATGCCTTAAGATTCTTTAATATTGTATTATGGGTTGGGTGAAAAAGACAGCATCGGAATAAGATTATTACGTAAATCTATTCCTTCTACTGATTAGCCCCATCATTATATTATGTGTCCCTTTCCCCTTTCAAAGGCCACCTTTACTTTATTATTACTCTCTGCTTATTTTTTACTCCAATCCGTATTTTTTTATTTTATTTTTTCTTACCATATCTAACCATATTATATAGTATTGTTATGTATAAGCTTGCGAGCAAATAATTTTTGAAACAATTTTTTTATTAATTGTGTATATTAAATCGAGTGGAGGGTTAAGCTTCTTTGTTGATTAAAGGGATATGCGAATATCATATATATTATATATGCATGCAGGATTGGATCAAATTAAATTATACAGCTGGGGTGTCAATCACTCATTGTCACCCTCCACCAACAAATACTTATCATTGGACTGTTTGCTTTTTGATTCAAATATACATACCATTTCATACATTAAAGTTTAGATTTGAGTTTTTGGGATTAGCTCAATATAAGCGTTAGTAGTTCGTGTGTTAAGACCTCATTATTCATTTACAGATTTTATACAATTTAACTCATTCATTACAAAATAATAATAATAAATGTCTAATAGCCAAATAATGAGAGTTAATACCCAAAATCGTCCTCGACTATAGTGGTTTTTCTCAATTTCGTCTTAAACAATTTTGGTGACCTAATATCGTCCTAGACTTTTGTGTTTCGCTCAATTTAGTCCCAGACTTTTGTGTTTTTGCTCAATTTAGTCCTTCATTTGTTATTCTGTCCATTTGGTGTTAAATAAATAGACAATTTAGTAATTTTAATATTGGCATCTCTTTACTCATAGACATGTGAACTGGGAAATCCTTTTTTTTTTTTTTTTTTTTTTACGAATTACTCCCAGAATTACTCCTAAAACTGCGAATATAAAATTTGATTTGCAGGTCCGGGAGTAATTCTGGGTGTAATTCGTACAAGAAAGAGGAATTTCGCACTTCACAAGTTGAAAGTAAAGAGATATCAATATTGACATTACTGAATTGTCCCTTTATTTAACATCAATTTGACGGAATAACAAATGGAGGACTAAATTGAGCGAAACACAAAAGTCTGAGACGATATTAGGTCACCAAAGTCGTTTAGGACGAAATTGAAAAAAATCACTATAGTCGAGGAAGATTTTGGGTATTAATTAACTCCAAATAATGTTAAAGAAAGAAAATTTCAAATAGTTTAAAACATTGTATTAAATACATGTAAGTATGTAACATAAGCTAAAGATTTGATTGGGCGTGGGCAAAAGTTAATGTGAAAAAAGAAATTGACCAATTGGCAATTGCGCTGGCAAGCAGGCTGGCTGGCTTGACACGTCGCTGTTGCATCCCTCTATGATCTATGCTATGGGATTCATCTCCTCCAGTCTCCACACAAAACCCTAATTTACCTTTGCGGCTTTGCTCTGTTAATTGTTACCTAACCCCATTGGATTTTTAAAATTATTGGAGCATTTATTTACTTAAAAAAAAAAAAAAAAAAAAAAAAAAAAAAAACTAGAAAACTCTCAATAATTCAAAACAACCGTACCCCAAGGCAAAAGATGCTGATTACACGTTTTGGTCCAGACGATTAAACTTTATAATTACCCATCCAATAAATTTCACCTCCACAACAAAGGTAAAACAAAAATCTCAGCAGCTTTAATAACCCCTCCCAGTTCCAGTAGTAGATATGCTGGAAACTCCAGTGTTGTTGCAAAATTCAAGCGATGATGGAGGAGGAGGAGGAGCTGCGGAGCTGAAGAAGAACAATGAAGGCGGAGGAGAAGACGGTGAGTGGAATTCAGGTGGGAACAGGTGGCCCCGTGAAGAAACACTGGCTTTGCTCAACATAAGGTCTCAAATGGACCTTGCATTTCGTGACTCCTCCTCTCACAAAGCTCCTCTATGGGATGAAGTCTCCAGGTATTCATATTTTCTTCAATATCCCAGAGAGATATCTACCATCAATCAATCAATCAATCTCCAGATTTGAGCTGTTGTTTACATAAATAAATCTCTTCTAAATTCAGTTATATTACATGCTTGCTTAGTGATTCGATTCAGACAGTAGGAGTGTTGTTATCTTAGTGAATTATATATGATTGTTTGGGAATTCAATTCGGCACTACTTCGTATTTGAATTATTGTAGTAATGAATTTTGTTGAATTTGAGGCCGGATCGGAGGCATACGCATATACGACTGGGGTTTGAATTTATTATTTATATGTATATGGTTAGGAAAATGGGGGAACTTGGATATCATCGAAATGCTAAGAAGTGCAAAGAGAAATTCGACAACATCTACAAGTATCACAAGAGAACAAAGGAAGGCCGATCTGGTAGTGGTAGACGACAAAATGCCAAAAATTACAGATTCTTCCAGCACTTGGAGCTTTTTGACACCCACCACTCTTTAACCTCCCATCAAATCCAAATCCAAAACCAAAATACCCTGGAAAAACCAACCTTGGTATCTCCTGCAACACCCCTCACAATGTTAAAACCCACCACAAGCTTAACCCAAGATCATCTCAGAATACAGCAGCCTTGCCATACTCCAGGAGACTTCAGTTTGGACATCAATTCCACCTCCACATCCGCCACCTCTTCTTCGTCAGAAGGGATTGCTAAGAAGAAGAGGAAGTTGGGTGATTATTTTGACAAGTTGATGAAACGAGTGCTAGAGAAGCAAGAGGGTTTACATTGCAAGTTCCTTGAAGCAATAGAGAAACGTGACAAGGATCGGATGGCAAGAGAAGAAGCGTGGAAGAGGCAAGAGATGGAAAGACTGAAGAGAGAACAAGAGTCGATAGCTCAGGAAAGAGGCATTGCTGCAGCAAAGGATGCAGCTATTATTGCCTTTCTGCAGAAGATAACACAGCAACCTATCCCTATCCCTATCCCTGTGCCGTTGCCTATGAACCCGACTCCCATATCTCCTAAGTGTGTTGAGAAGCAAGAAAGTGTGTTAGAGAAAAATATTGCAGATGGCAGCCGCAGCGAAGATGTGGTGGAGAAAGGAAATGACACGCAAGAGAATGTAGCTGAGAGAAGTAGTGTTGAAAAGAGAGAGAATGGTGGTTGTGGTGAGAGTAATTCTGTGCAGACAAGCTCTTCACGGTGGCCTAGAGAAGAAGTGGAAGCTTTAATTAAAGTTCGGACAAATCTGGACTTGCAATACCAAGACAATGGATCAAAAGGGCCATTGTGGGAGGAGATATCAGCAGGTATGAAGAAGTTTGGATATGAGAGAAGTGCAAAAAGGTGTAAAGAGAAGTGGGAGAACATAAACAAGTACTATCGGAGAGTAAAAGAAACACAAAAGAAAAGGCCTGAAGATTCAAAGACGTGCCCTTACTTTCACTTGCTAGATTCTGTGTATCAAAGCAAGTCCAGGAGGGTAGAACATAGAACTTCAGAGGTTCCTAAATCCAAGGGAGAAATGTTGGTGCAAAACCAGGAGGAGGAAGATGGCGAAAGACCAAGTGTGGATCAAAATGAAGAAAATGATGATGTGTAGCACCAAATAGTTGGAAATCCCCTCTTGCCTGCTGCAGAAAAAAGAATGCAGTGATGCTGCATGATTGCATGAAGTTTTACGCCTAAGAGTTGTGTGAAAGATTACAATTGGTGCACATAAAGCAAAGTGACATCTTTCTTTCTAGTCTAGTCATATAATAATAATGTATATGAAATCATAGTTTACTGGGTAAATAGAGAGAGAGACAGAAGATTAGCTCACAAGTAATGATGTGTGTTGTTGTATTAATAAAGACATAAACATGATTGGGTTTTTTGAATTGGAGGATGATATGAGGGAGTACAAATAATAATAATTATAATGTGTTCAAATGCTTACATCGCAGTGCCATTTTTGTTTTAATAAGGCGTTTAATTTGCCTTTTAATTTATTGAGCATATAACCATTAATATGCAATCCAACTATCAGTTTAGGCTTAAACTCACTTACTGTTCACCTCAATTGCTCACATTGTTTGGCCTGGCCTTCCAATGCGAATAAATAAATATCTTGGATTACCAATTGTGTCAACCACTAAAAAAACTCTTAAAATTTATAATTATTTTCAAACGTTTAAAACGTGATAATAATAATTATAATTATATGAAAATAAAAATAAAACAAAATTTTCAATCGTCGTCAGGCCTTCTCTGTCCTCCCCAGTCTCCAACCCAAAATAGGAATAGGAATAGGAATAGGAATAGGAATAGGAATATGATGATCAGATCTACGCCTTACCCAATTATTATGCTTCATTTCATATATCTCGTTGCTGTCTTCTGCAGATAACACTTTTATCTAGATTTACAGCAACCATTTCCATAATGGATTTGGATGAATTTCGCGTAATTCTATCCGATTCCAAAGTGGACGTTTGGACGCTCATCCACACCGCCATTGACGTGGCTTCGTCGGACTATATCACCGAGTTCAAGGATCGCCGTGGCGGAATTGTGGAGAAGTTGTTTTCGGTCCCCTGCCCCAACTGCAACACTCATTTCATTCCCAACCAACTTACCAATTACAATACTAATACCAATGTTGAGAGGGAGAATAGTAAGAGTCCTTTGAGTCCCGACCCGAATCATCACAGCAACGATAATAATGATGAAAAAGGAAGAGGAGAAGAAGACGCGGATCCTTATGGAGGCTTGTTCGATGACGAGCAGACTAAAATTCTCGAGATCAAAGAGCAACTTGAAGATCCGGAACAGGTCTTAGTTATTTTTTGAATTAATGCTATGATATATTGTGTCTGTGTGTGTAATGTGTTAGCTTAGCTTCATCGTTTTGTCTGAATTTTATTTGTGAACAGAGTGAAGATTCTGTTGTTGAGTTGTTACAAAGTCTTGCTGATATGGATATTACATTTCAAGCTCTCAAGGTTTGTTTGTTTTGACACTAAAGCAGAAAAGCTTTCCCATTTTCTTAGTCCCTTTACTGGATGATGAAGAATTAACATGTGCATGCGCTAATGAATCCTGCCTGTATTTCTGTTCAATATTGATTAGGAAACTGATATTGGAAGGCACGTGAATCGATTGAGGAAGCATCCATCTAATGAAGTTAGGAGATTGGTGAAGCAATTAGTTAGGTTTGATTTTCAAACAAAAACTAATTATCCAATTATTAGGTTGAAGTTTTATCTGTGGATATGGAATTCAAGTTGTTCAACTGATTTCTAGGTTTTTTCTTGTGTGTGTATGTTCTAATGTGGTTTTTTTTTTTTTGGGTAGAAAATGGAAAGAAACTGTAGATAAGTGGGTGAAGCTCAATCAATCCGAACAAACATCTCCGAATCTCATTGGTACAATCCTCCAAAATGCCATATTTTTCTTCTCTCTAGCATTTACAAGCCAAAATTTTAAATGTCTATGGAGTTCAAATGTAATTTGTAACTAATGGTATTGGTGACAACAGCAGATGGAGACTCGCCCCAGCAGAACTTACTAAAAAATCAACAAAATGGTCATCCTCAGGTTATTTCCAATTAATACTGCTCTCTAGTATTCCTACCTCACAAAACTAAATATGGTTACTTTTAAAAGCACATACTTTAAGGTCTAAAGTGGTTATGGTCTTTGCAGGTACCTGATTTTGGGTATTCTCCAAATCCTCAAAGTAAGAACCAAGACAGAATCAGATCATGGCTTGTCAATTACTTTTGCTTTGATATTCTTTTACTAATAATTCCTTTTTAGATGGGAGTTCATGCTCAGACCGGAATAACTCAGATCCAGAACAGAAGCCAAAGTCTGTTCCACGAAATGAAGCACCTCCGAGATCACTTCAATCTGCTCCTAAACCTGCTTCTGCTCCTCCCCCAAGTGTATTAAGCTCATTCTTCCATTTCTTAACTGCAAATATTTGAGAGGGAAATTAATCCCCTTTTTTTTCCACCACATTTTCCATATACGGAGTATAAAACAAGAAAGTTGTTGATTACTTGTTATGGGTATTTGCAGAGGCCACCAAGGGAATCTACCATTGATATGGAAAAGTTAAATTCAGCAAGGAGAAGGCTACAGGAGAACTACCAAGAAGCTCAAAATGGTTTGATTTTGAACTTTGGAATGTGTTGTTGTATTGCTAGTCCAGTGTGGGTGTGTTTCCTTGTAGAGTTTGTTTCATTTTGGGTTTTGATTGAGGTTTGTTCTCTTGTGGCGTATTGTTTGCTTTGTGAAGCTAAAAAGCAAAGGACAGTACAAGTGATGGATATTCACGAGATTCCAAAGCCAAAGAACGCCTTCATTGCCAAGAATAAAGGCAGGAATCATCGCTAATTTGTCTGAGGTCCATATGTGTGCAGTAGGAGACAACATTGTGTATATGGGCATTTAATGCTTGTTTGAAGTTTGTTTACTTTGGTTTTGGTAAATAAGTAGAGGTTATTTTCTGTTTGCAAAGGAAGGAAAAACAATTGTTTTTTTTTTTTTTTTTTTTTTTTTTTGGGGGCCTATTTCGCTTCCTTTGCTTCTTCTCTCTAGGGCTGTTTTCGTGTTCTTTTTTTAAGATTTTGAAACTTCTATTTGTGTTCATGTTTTGTTAATATCTGTGAACACGTTCGTGAACGTGTTCGTTAATCTTTGTGAACACATTCGTAAATGCTAAATAAACAAACACATACATATTCATAATCATAATTCGTTCGTGAACAAGAACTAGTCTATGTTTATGAACAATAACTAAACAAATAACATAACGACTATAAAAATAAAAATAATAATAATAATTAGATTCTGCATCCGGTATAGTATAACTGTGTAGTATATATATAACAAACGATGTTCAAACTCTGTTTATTAATCAAGCTTTAAATGCTTACCGAACACGAACACAAAGCTCTGTTCGCTAACACCCCTCCTCTCCCTGGCATGCCACCAAATTAGCTTGTCTTAAAACACAATTATGCCACCAAATTAGCTTGTCTTAAAACACAATTTTGAGTAGTTATGTATGGTTTTATTTACTGTTAAATAGGCATAATGCATAATCAGATATGCTTTTCCATAAAGCTTGTATGTGTTTCAAGTTTCAAGAAAAATACAATGCATGTAAAAGCATGCATACATGCATATGCGGAACCTAAATCTACTGAATCCGATTTTTAGCTTTCCAAAATAAGGGTACAACCTTTGACTTTGTATGATGGTGAAGAAAAAAAGAAACTGCTCCAGTTTTATTAAATATTTGTTTTACTACCCTGTGCAAGATCGATCGATCAAACAAAGATGGAAGCAAAGGCTTCATTTCATAGTATTAATAACCCATGAAAGGAAGGACTTGCCTATGTTTTCGGCTCAACTGATTGCTCCCTCGACTTGCTTAAACTACTAAATATGCCATCAATCAACTCATCTTTGTGATCTCGAGGTTTATCTGAGACAAATGAATAAGGCTTTGATGGTTTGCTCTTCTTTCCAGTGTTTAATAGATGACTATCACTTCTGCTGCTCACTGACTCTGAAGAAGCAGATTGCTTTGCATCGTTTTTGCAGCATTTGTCCATCCCATCAACATTCTCTGATGCACCATTTCCACTGCTTTCCTCCGTCCGGCTGTACCACGAATCAAGGATCTGCAACAAAGAGCTATCTTCCTTTCCTCTGGGTTTTGTACTTTCTCGTTTTGTGGAGGAGGATACGCTCAAGCTCTCTTCATCCATGTCTGAAAAATCATCATCAGACAACAGTTCATAATCCATTTTGCTGCTTGACCCCACTTCCATCTCATCCTTCTTCAGGGTTGTCATCTTTGAAATCGGTCCTAGCTCTGCCCATGGAGACTCAACATCATCAACCTTCCTTGAAGCATCCAGTAGTTCACTGTCAGAATTAGCTACAGTATCTCCAACACAACTTTCTTTAGTAAACAACTCATTGGCCGCACTATTTACATCTTTACCAGATGGAAACATATAATTTGACTCTATTCTTATCCCAGGCATTATCTGAAGAAGATTTACCAACTTTTGATAGCCAAGCTTCTGTAAATCCAGTGAATAGCCATATTTTTCAAGGAAAAGCTTCCTGAAAGATCCCAAATTGTACCCATCTGGATGTACCCTCACAATCTCCTGCACAAGATTCTGACAGTCAACAAGTACCTCATTTCTAGACTTCCCAAAGGAGTTCCCCTGGCCCTGGGTGACAGGTTGAGACACTCCTGAATGTGGAGGGTTTTGGTGCTTCTTCTCTCCATCTTTCTCTTGCAACTTTGTTGGAAGCTCAGTATGTCGAAAGATACTGCTCAACCCAGTTGAGCTGTGAGAAGCATTTTTCACTGCTTTTACAGCAGGCCTAGATACTTTGAAAGGAAAGGTTCTTTGAATGCGTTCTTCCACCCATTTCTTATCTGAAATAAACAAGTCTACCAGATGAAGAAGATCATTTTCACAAAGAGATCTGAGAGACGAAGGACCACACTGTTGAAGATTCTGCGCCAACTGCAACCTGATATACAGCCAAAATGGATTTAGAACAATACAACCTTAATTGAAGGGAATTGGCTAAAATATCCCACACCAATGCACAAGTTAACTTCTGCATTGTTCTTAATTGTGCATTGGTGTGGGGTATTTTAGCATTATCAATCCTAGCATTATCTAGGCATGGAGCATTCAGAGAGGAAGGTAGTAACTAGTAATGAAGTACCTAGTCCTTGACTGTAAAACAAGAGTAGAACCTTGTTCTGTATCCAGGAAAGCCTCCACATCCTTCCAAAATGAATCCTCTGAAAAAATATTGTGTGTCCCAGAACCTGGTTTATTCTGAGTGACTTTCTCATCAGATTCAAAATTTGAATTATTTAGGGGAGACAGACTTTCTGAAGGTCTACACCAATTCTTAATCTTGTTAAAAAATCCGGACTGGCTGCTGGATTTTTCTATAATGGCTTGAGAACTCACACTGTTTTTTTCATCCACCTTTTCTTCGTCTCCAGAAGGGAAAGGATCTAAGCCTTTGAAGTGTTCGGACTGACTTGCTAATTTGGCATCAGACTCATTGATTGTTGTTTGTTCAGCAGGTATCTTATCAGAGCTGCTACAGTTTTTCTCATTGGCATCATACTCCTTTTTACTCCCAAACCACTTTTTCCATAATCTCTTAAAAAGTCCCTGTTTGGGAACAGAACTTTTATCCTCTGCAGTATGTACTTGGCTTCCAGTTGCTTTAGTCTCTGTAATCTGTAGGCTTGAAGGTGGTAGCTCCCCTTGTGGCACTTGTATTCCACTTGTGGGATCTTGTGTATTTTGTGCCGACTGTTGTTCTTTTGGCAAGGGACGTTGGACTTTTGTTGTGAGCTCTTGCACTTTTTGTGATTCCTGCAATTTTGCCAGTGGAGTTTCCACTTTTGGTCCAGAGCATGAAGTTGATGATGACATCTTGTTTGGGCTATCAGTACAAGAGCTCCTGGTGCAGTTCATTTTACGAACAGCAATACTGTCAGGTTGTCCTACAATAACAGCAGTGGGCTCCACCGCAGTAATGCCCGAACTGCACTCATTTTGTTCAGATGATTTAGGGGCAACACTTTGAACCAGCAATTGATGACCACTTCCTGATTGAAGCTTTAATACATGTGGCATTGCTAAGAGAAAACGGGAAAACTTTTTATATCCATAGAAGTCTTTATCAATACTCAAATTGCTTTTTGCCAATTCTGCACGAAGATCAGTAATGAAGAGTCCTTTGGGGTTAGAGCCCAAGATATGGCGAATATGCTTGGTAACAGCCTTTGGGATTGGGCGAGGTTTTTGATCTGAAGTAGAATCAGAGAGGTCATCAGTATGGGGAGAATTTTGGTGGTCCACAGTAGAAGCAAAAGGGTCTTCAAGAGGTGCCTTGTAATGGCCATACCAAGAACCATAAGGACCATCTGGGGGATGATTAAAATGCTTTCCTGTAAGGTCATCCCCTCTGAGTAAAGCATTCCATTGCCACATGATACTAGCAGCACTAAAGAGTGCAGCAGATGCATTTTCTGGGCTGGCAAGCAAGATATTATAGTTGTTCATTCTTAGTCGGTGTAAAATACCAGCAAATTCACAATCACCAGTGATTAAGAAAAGGTGGGCAGGTGGAGGATTTTGGGAAACCCAATACATAAGATCTACAAGAAGAGATCTATCGGCACTACTCTTTCCACCTGAAATTGTGGAAGGGGGATGATAATTGATTAATGAATCGAACTTCCAAAGTAAGGCAGGAAGTGAAGGGTGGAGTATTAACAGTTATTAGACACATTCATTCAGTCAGAAAATATGGTAATAAATGCATCTGGAACAGCAGTACTGAAATGAAACAAATAATGTATCATTTCAAAACCACGCAGCCTCTTGTTTACTCTTTAGATTAAGGCCAGTTTGGTAACATAGTAGCTTATAAGCCAATTTTGACTCATTTGATCACACTATTAGCTGTTTGATTTGGTTAAACAATCAATATGAGTGTTTGATTAATTAGCTTATTGTAACATCTTATTGGTCCAAAATACTAAAATTCAAAATGCGGCTCAAATTAACTTTATTGTTCAATTTTTTTAAGAAGTCATTTTGCATGAAATCAGCTAAGGCTAAAAGCTAATTTATCAAACACTTTTTCTACTTTTCTACAATTAGCTAATACTAACAACTATTTAGCAAACACTCCTAAGCTAACTAATTTTGGGGTTGTGGCTGAAATGGCGGAACGCAGTAGGAAGTAACAGTGTAGAAAATATGGTTTCATTTAGGTTTGTTGGAGAAATAGATGAGATGAGCGTAAAGTAGAGAGAGAAAGAGAGAGAGAGAGAGAGAGAGGTTTACCGTTTGGAATGTGAGTTAGATTGATCCCGGTGGAAGAAAGTGCCTCCTGATTAGGGCGCGGGAGGTGGAGAATGTCTCCAAATGCGGTGATTTGGATGGGACCTTTGATCCCATTGGCCCTAATGGCGGCAGTGATGCTATGGGCGACCTTAAAGACATTGACGGCGGGCGGCAAGGTACAATTCTCGAAATCCCACCAAACGGAGACCTTAACGTTCCGGCCATCCTCCTCAAGTCGGCGAGAGTGGTAGGAAGGGTTATGGGAGGACTGGAATGAGGCGGCGGAAAAAGGGGAGAGTTGGAGAAGCTTATAGCAAGGGGGGTTTGAGGTGGCTGTGGCTGTGGCTGTGGCTGTGGTTGTGTATAGAAATAGGGTGAAAACGGGTCTGGGGAAAAGGGGTTTCATGCTAACAATTTGGGGTGTTCAGATCAGATGACTGAACAACAAGAAGATGAAGAAGAAGATGGTGATGGAGTGTGTGTGTCATTTCATAAGACAACTTTTTGGTTGAACAAGGGTTTAGACTTCACAGAGAGGAGAGCTAAAACCCTAGAGCAGGTGCAGCTCACGTGAGTTACTATCCGCATTCGGTTGAGATGGGCCGGGTCGGGTGGTGCGTAGCAGCAGGCTAAGCTAAAGCTAAAGAACTTGTATGTATATAGTCATGTAGAGAAAGGCCCAACAAACGCAATAATTGAATTGG